ACATTTTAATTCTATCTACGTTATAAAATCATAAAAAGATATATATAAAAGGTAGAAAAGGTAAATAGAAAAAGGTAAAAAAGGTAGAAAGTAAGGGTAGTAAAGGTAAAAAGAGTAGATATCAAAGATAGAAAAGGTAAATAAACAAGATGGAAAAGATAGAAAATAAAGGTAGAAAAGGTAGAAAATAAAGGTAAAAAGAGTAGAAAAGGTAGAAAATAAAGGTAGAAAAGGTAGAAATAAAAGTAAAAAGAGTAAAAAAGGTAAATATCGAAGGTAGAAAAAATAGAAAAGGTAGGTAAATAAGGTAGAAAAGTAGAAAAGATAGAAAATAAAGGTAAAAAGAGTAGAAAAGATAAATATCGAAGGTAGAAAAAGTAGAAAAGGTAGGTAAATAAGATAGAAAAGGTAGAAAAATAATTATTATACGATTATTAAATAATCAATATATATACTATTTTTATCGATTTGTTGTTTTTATTACTATTTTTGAAAATTTTCATATTTTCTATTATTTTTAAAAGATTCGTTAATTATGGAATTATTGAAAATAATTGTAACAATATTATATATAGACTTTTCAGAATATTGTGAATATTTTTTAAAATATAATAATACAAAAACTAATCAAAAAGCAAGATTTATAATTCTAAGCTAATAGAATTATTGAAATATATTATATATTCTATTAAAATTGCAAGTAATTTTGATAACTAGTTCAAAAAATATATATAAATATAAAAAATAAAATTTAGTATCAAACTGAAAATTTACATGAAAAAAATTATTTTATTTTATAAATATACAAATATCTTCATATTCAGTAAATCAAATTAAATAATTTTATATCACCAGATTTATCAAGTCAAAATATATCTAATGATATCAAAATTATATAATTTTGATTACTAGATACAAAGATATAATGTCTCAAAAATATTATACAAAATCAGAATAAAAAAATATTTAAAAAAATTTATTTTTGCAAATATCTCTGCATCTACTAAACAAAATTGTATGATTTTAATATCACTAGATTCATATAAATAAAACAAATCTGAAGATATCAAAATTATCTAATTTGATTAATTATATTGGAGATATTCACAAAAAACTATTTTCTTCAAAAAATTTATTCCAGTTTGGTATATTATCTTTGAGATGTGATATTGCTATATCTAGTAATTTAAATTGAATAATTTTAATATTATTAAATATATCTTAACTTGGAAATTTGTAGATAAAATTTTATTTAATTTGATTTACTAAATACAAAATTATTTGTATTTTTGTAAAATAATATTTTTTATATAAATTTTGATTTGATACTAAATTTTATTTTATATATATATTTTTTGAATTAGTTATTAAAATTACTTAAAATTTTAATATAATATACAATATATTTTAATGATTTTATTAGTTTAGAATCATAAATCTTGTTTTTTATTGATTTTTGCATTATTGTATTTTAAAAAATTTTGTAAGATCTCTTAAATTATTAGCTTTATATTATATTATACTAAACAAATCACTATTATTGAAATTATTAATTTTGAATATTAAGTATTTTGATTTTTGTTATTTTGGTATTTCTCATACATGAAAAAAACAAAGTGAAAGAGTTTTGTAATTGTTACTACTAATTATATTATCTTAGCTCTGGAAAGCTTTATGCAAGTACAGAAAATTAGTCTTTCAAACTTTCTTTATTATTTATTTCTTTATTATTTTATATTTTTACTCTCATCTTTTGATTTTTACTCTCCTATAACTCTATCATATTATTAGTATATAATTTTCATAAAAATTAGCATAGGACTCAAATATTCCTTTTTTCTCTTAATATTTATTTATTGTTTAATACCCTCTTCCAATCCAGTTCCAAGTTTGTAAGCTAATTTAATGATTAGTAAACAAGCTTGTAACAGTATGTACTCAAATAATTGACAATTATAATAATCATGAACTGAATACTTTTTACAGTATCATATATAGCACGCTGCCTACAGTACCCCCAGTCTTATTCAAAAAACTTCTCTTGAACTTGAATAGTACCCTTCAGATACAAAATAATAAGAGCAATATATGAAAATTTGTTACTAATTGGAGGATTATCTTGCTATTAAACACAATAGAGCCATAGAAAAAACCAAACACTGCTTATAAAAATTAGGCCGCAAATTGCTTATCAGCAAAATGAGGGATACTATCTCAGGGATGAACTGTAGGTAGCACCATACAGTAACTCCTTTAATAATAATTACAGCATTTACTACAATCATGAGTTTTAGATACCATCTTTGAGTTTATTGTATACGTATTTTGAGATGTGTTTATACAATCAATTTCAGACACTTTCTTCTGCTTTTTTACGGCACTGTCTGATTTTTTGTTTTATCAGCTTTCTACTCTCACCAGATTTTTTATATTAGATACTAGGCTTATAAATTATGTGGCCAATGCTGTATTTTGGTGATAAATAATGTTCAAAAACATAAACAATATATTAAATAAAATCACATTAGTTAATAATTAAACCAGTTTTCACATAACTAGTTATTAACCAAAGCCTGCTTGGAATCAGAATTTATGTGAACATAAAATTTTTTTCTGAGAATTCATGTTCCTCTGCGAAAATTGGGAACATAACACTTCCAACACTGGCAATAATACATTTTTGCTATGTTAGTAAATCCTCCTCATATTCTTGATTTACATTTTAAGTGCAGTGCTAGTTAGCTTATTATGAAAGGTGCACTTAGGAAAGTAGTATATTGTCGTTATTGTTGTTTAATAACAACGAACTCATTAGTTTGCAAAAAAATATTCACTTTTCTAGCGAGTACCGTTAGACGCGATTAGATACGTATAGTCTTCTGTAACATCATGACAATCTGTATCTACATGTAATAAAAAATGAATTGATTTGCGCTCCTGACGCTATATAGAACACGTCTTCAATATGAGATTCTTCTTCTCGAGCCGGATCGAATAATGTAATATATATAAATAACGTACAAAAAAAAAGACGATCGCTTTTAGTTTATGCTTAACTCCTTATTCCCCAAGTAAGAATGATTCATACTTTTTATCATATGAAAAAATAATATTTTAAACTTATTATGTATACTAAACGACGGTAAGCCTATTTTTTTCAAGAATGACTTCAAAATAAGAAGAATTGTTTAAACGAATTTATTTCCTTTTCAGGAAAATTGATGACGTTTCGTCGTTTAAAAGCAACGCACAAAATCCAATTGATGTAAATGATATAAATGGCATCAAAAATCATAGTAACAGAATTGACACTAACAACCACCACCATGATACTCAAAATCACACTATTGATAACAACCAATCAAAGTCGGAATCACTCGCATTCTCACTGCCAACCGAAATATTTAAAGAAATCTTTGCAAATTTTGATAACAACTACCAAACCCTCTTAGCGTGTGCGTTAGTAAACCGTCAATGGTGCAAAAATGCAGTTCCAATACTATGGAGAGTACCATTCAAAAAACCCGGCAGCGCTTCATCTTCAACAAAAGTCTTTGAAATGTTTGTTCGTTGTCTATCGCCAAAGGCAAGAGCACGACTGATAGCCGAAGGTATCGATGAACTTCCAAAGCCGGAATATCAACCTACTTTTCGATATTTGAATTTCCTGGCGTGTTTGGACTTTCAGTTGCTTTGGGAGACGACGCATGAATGGCTGGTGAGACGTCCAAAAGGAATTGTTTCGATGGATGCGCATATAGTTAGAGTTGCGCATTTGAGTCGTGAGATTTGCACTTGCATTTTTCGGTCGTCGGAGTGTTTGGAGCAACTGGTTGTCTCGATGGATTCCTCACAACTTTCGAGAGTTCCCGAGGCGAATTTTGTGTTTACTTTTTTTCCGGGTGCTGTTAATTGTCTGCCGGGGATAAAAGAATTGCAAGTGTGTGGCGATTATTGTCTTCCGATTTTGTGCAAGACACTGTCACAGATTTGTCAGCAACTAGTCACGTTACGAATTGATGCTCCGCCCGAAACATCATCCTCGTTGAGTCAAGAAGAAACTTCAATAAATTTGATTCGAGCACAAAAAAATCTCAAACATTTCCAGCTATACGGCCATAATAAATCAACTTTGTCACTATTGTTAACGCCAATTTCAACTTGTGCTCATTCTTTGGAATCATTGAAATTTCAGAATATAAATTTCACATCAATATCCCGTAAAGCGATAAGTTCACTGTGTTCTTGTGTCAACTTGATTGCCCTCGAAATCACGAAATGTCGAAGTATTTCCTCTCTGGACCTCTTTGAAATCGCGCAAAAGTTCACGAAGCTGTTGTACTTTTCATTTAATCCATATCCATCATCTATTCCAGAAGAATTCGCGAAATCTATTCTGACTACTAGCCAACAAATAGAATTTTTCTCGTTAAAATATTCTATTCAAATCAATGAGATAACTCGACTATCCAACTTGATATTTCAAGCAATAATAGCATATGGAAGTAAACTCCTGTTCCTGGAGCTTCCGATCCTCGATGAGACACAAATAACGCAGATACTGTTGACCTGTCCGCGATTAGAAGAATTTCTATTCTGGGTTCCTGATTCGCCTACTCGGGTCGATCAACATTTACGCAATTTGGGAAATATGTCACCACCGAGTTTAAAACATATATGCATAAATGGATTGAAAAGCATTCAGTTCGAGGTCGATTCGTTGATAGCTTTTTTGGATAGTGATACTAGAAAGTCGCAAAAGCATCGTTTGACGACTATAATCATGCACGATTATGAAAATTTAGAGTTAGCTGCAATCTTTAAACAATACGGTGTGAATGACAAGTATCCAGAAGATCGGATTGCTCGTAAGTTTATTATTATCATTATGACGCAATTCTTGTAACAATTTTTGTTGAAAATCGGATCCTATTTTTAGTTTTTCGTAAAAATTATATTCCCACCATCGGAAGACCACATGGGAATGATTGTAACATTAGGTTAAATTCTTAATATTAACGTTAACACAAGAGAACTCCATACCGCGCGCGATAGGTGCATACTATTTATTTATTTGTATTTAAAACGCTTTGTTGTTGGTTTGAATATAATCATCCACGAATTTATTTATCAACGCGAATTTTTTGATTTTCAAGAGATCGTGACGACGGTTTTCATTATTTGGCAACCATTCTTAAATGTGATTCTGTTTGAACCTTTTTTTCTGCCGAATAATGAAGTTTTAATAAAAATTGATGCATTGTTTGAGAATTTGAATAATCTTTCCATTATGAAAAGGATTTCACCATTGAAAATACTCACATCGAAATAACGATAAATTATGTGCACGTCCGTCTAACACAAAACAAATACGTAATTTTAAAATCGGTTCCATTCTCTGTTTATCCTTTTTAGTCAAAAAATCACACACTATTCGAAAATAGAATTCAAAATGACAATGAAAACAAAAAATGCTTGTGATTTATCGTTCCAGTTGCCTAAAAACAATGAAAACGTAATTCCTCATCACATAGCGATAGACGTATAGATAATTAACATTAATCCAAAAAAAGAAATCGAATCGAATTAACGCATTAACATCTGCGATTAGAATCATCACTAATTCGATGGCTATCATCTATATATATCGATATATACGTATACGTATTCATTCATCCACCATTAATAATATTAATCATTTGAACAAAAATCAAACAACGATAATGTGATTGCGTCATGGCCACCAATCAATGGGAACTTGTTCTTATAATGAACACTTCTTGAGGATCGTTTCATTCACATGAATTTGACTCTCATCATTTTTCTCTCAGTTGAGAGATATTCCGTAAATAAAAAAAATACAGTAACAATACACACTCAATCATATACATGTAATATATAATATAATAACGATAATGAAATAATTATATGATCAGGTATTATATCAATTTTGTGTCTGTGTTGTGAATAATCAAGAAATCAATCAATCATCGAACTACACAGTACACAACACAAACGCACAAATGTCGCTGTTTGTTCTCTACCGCTATGTTCCTCAAACTTTATAAATACGTGACAGGTAGACATATTCCAACCATATTTGAAATATATACACACACATATTAATATTTTCTTATATCAGAAAATTTTAAACGATAACACTTTCTTTTTTTTTACTCTCGTCACTAGAAAACTATAACGAGAATACTTCTTTTTATTCTTGACTCTAGAGATAGGGTTATTTGCCTTTTCTTTTTGTATTTTGATTAGGTATTTATGTAAATAAATAAATTTTATCCTTCTCTTCCACCACGACAAACATCATCATGCCGATTCCGAAACGAAATACTAATTCAAGCACAATTTCTGGCTCCTCGTCGTCTACAAGAGTTGACGAACGAATAATATTGAATGTTGGTGGCGTAAAGGTGAATTTCAAATTTCAATGAAGAACACACAGATCATTTTATTTCAGTTATATATATATATTTCTAATATAACGATAATAATATAGTATGAAACATATCGTTCAACATTAACAGCATATCCAGACACATTGCTCGGAACAATGTTTCAAGAACGCAATGCTGAACTTCTACATCCAAGAAACGAAAACGAATATTTTATCGACAGAAATGGCCGCGCATTCCATTACATCATGGAATACTATCGTACCGGGAAAGTAGTATGGGGTGGAATAGGTAGTGACCGAAAAATCACTCGTCGAGAGCTCGACGAAGAACTTGACTACTTTTTGATTCCACCATTGACACCCGCTATCTCACTCGCGATGGATTTCGAAGCATTCATAAAAGCAATGATGCAAATTTGTGTACGAGCATTTCATCTGGCCGGCGAGACTAGTATCAAAGTCACCGCTACAGATGGACAGTATCTAATCGTCCGATATTTGAATCAGGGCACTAGCGTTCATGTGACAGCTCCTAAGATCGGAAAAACGATTTTAAAGTTATTCGGCAAAGAGATTCATCAACATCTACAACGGTCGTGGCCTGTTTTAAGGTGGGAACCGCTTGAGATTAAGCAAGCATATATTGTTCATCTATGTCTGCGAAAAGACCAAATTATTTATACGGAAGATCGACCCAAGTGGCATTAATTAGTCTTTTAACAATGAACAATATTCACTTGTCATCATCACGAATATTTTGGCTTTTATCTTTTTAAGCATACATTATACTGATTTTTTTACCAATAAACATTTTTTTCTATATAAGTAGAATTTTTAGAGATTAGACTAGATGTTTCTTTTCTTCAGGTCGCGGGCGTGGATTCAAGTTAAATTAGGGCTAAAATAGTTTTTTTTTTACTATCGATTCTAAAGATATTTTGGATCCATTAAGAAATACAATAATACTGTATTGAAATGAGCGCGAGTACATGTAAATATGAAGTACGTATACATACGTATGTATGTATGTATGTTGAATAAATAATATCGATGTGTTTAAATTAATGAATGAGTGCACCGCATGAATGAATACGAACAGTGCTACAGCAATTTTTGGTAACCATGTAGGATTCATGGTTACTTGAAAGGGAAAGTCATATTACGTTGTAATACATGTACATGTAAAAAGAAAATGTATAACTATAGTTCATTCTTGTAACCAATCAAATACGTATTAGAAACAGAGAATCTCCTGATTCTAAGTCATGGTGAAACTTTGGTACTTCAATTACTAAGCTTAAAAAAATTACGTATATTTGAAGAGCATACAGTCGGACCCCATTTAGCAACTATGTGATTTAACAATCAGTATATAGTTAAATTCATATCTTAACGACATATTTTAAATTCCTTTCCATAAAATCGGGTTACGTACTTGGTTTCCGATCCCCTGAATTAGTTAATACTATACTTTATAAAACAAATATCAAATTCAATGTTTTATTTTAAGAAAAGTTTTTATCTCTATAGATTAAGAAAATTTGCATGAATGAAATATTTTTATATCGATATTTTATTACAAATCATCAAATTAAATTGATATACGTACGTAGTATCATTCAATTAATAAGCATAATCAGACTAAGTATGATCAATTTTATTATTTTAAAAGGGGGAGGGTAAGGGGCTAGTGCTGGGATTAGCGTTAGTGCTGGTTTTTGAAAATTGCTAAAATAGGAGATAAGGGGATATTTGATAGTGTTGGCTTATCAACTTAACAATGCTCTTATTTTTTCTATTATCGTTATATAATTTTTTACTTTCAATTATTTATTAGACATTTTATCTTTAATGTAGTTAACTTTATTCTTTTACTATTTTACTCAAAGATCATTTTGTACATCTCCGATTTGTATATGAAAACACATGGGGGAAGTCAGTAAAGAAGGGGTAATCAATTTGCCCCTTTTTTATTGACTCAAGACGCGAAAATGTTATAATTCAAAACTTCTATTATGCCATAATGTATCGCTCACAAACTTCAATATTATGTCAAGCATACCAATATTACTTGTCACTATTGTCTTGATTCAATAAAAATGAAATCTTTCCCGTTTTATTCCGAAACTAACCCGAAATGCAAAGGACCACACCGGACAATATGGATCGGAAATTTAAGTGAATATAACGAATATTAATACTGGATACCGATACAGTCTATCGCTATACTAAATTAGCCAGATTTCTTAATAAACTGGATGAATGGAGTATTTCAGTTTTGCATATCGAGTCTTGCTTGATGATAGCAATATTTCTAAGAGCAAACAGAGTATCGAAGGGATAGACAAAGAAATTTAGTCTCAGATTTTATTACAGACACCCCTACAAAATTCCCCGCCATTTTTAGGAGCGCAATACAATCATTCGACAGTTTTGAACAGTGAACCCAAAGTGACCTACCAAATGACACTTGTCAAATAGCAAATGACTTAATTTTGTCCATCACTGTCATTCGATCTGTTTAGTCATGGCGAATTGCATAGTGATAGTGATATTTTTGTGCGAATCCAAGAGTTGGATGTCGAGGTATGGGCTGAGTGCAATAGAAACGGTGTAAACTGTATTATACATTCTAATACAATTTACACTGTTTCTATTGCACTTGGCCCATATCGCGCGCCGAAACTTTTAGTATCCATATGTGGCAAGTTCGATAAGTTGTAAAATAATATCGGATTGGACTTAAACCCGAGACCAGACCTTTTTGGTGAAGAACCCGAAACGGTTTTTTTAGGTTTGTTTTCGGTTTGGATCGTCCGGTTTCGGTTTGATCCGAACCATTCGGAACACTAATTATATGGATAAAAGTTCAATGTAGCAACATGACAATAAACTCCTAACTTTAAATCTTAATCGTACGTGAAATTTACCATCTGGCGCTTGCATTATCGTATCAATCGACAAAATTTGTCCGATCCCGTCCTTGTTCTGCCCAAATAGATTTGAATATATGTTCGAACGGAGTCAATTTCCCAAACTAATTACTCTTTTAAGTATTCTTGTGATTAAGACCACACGAATTTTTTTGGTTTTCATAACTCGGCCGGGTCACCAAACCGGTTCATTAAATTTAAATTTTGAGGCATAGTCTAATGTTGTATAAAAATCGATATTTTTTCGGCCGATAACTTCGGGCGTGATATCTCGCGATCCAGAAATCAGAATGGAGCGATCTTCGTAATTACCGTTCGATTTTCTAGTTAAGGCGACTCGAATGGTGGTTAGATTGCTTCGATCCAATTACTGGATCACGAGATATCACGTCCTGAAGTTACCTGGCCGACAAAATATCGAAAATCGATTTTTATTGGCAATCGAATATATATTATGCAAAAATGACAATTCTATATAAATTTTTTGACTTTAAGAATAAAAGCCATATCGCCAGGATATTTTACATGAACATGTGTTATGAGAACAAAGTCTGTGAAAAAATTAAGGTTGATACTACGAACTTAATTAAATATCGCAGCACACATTTTTTGAATACAAATACGTGTGTTGAATTTGCTAATTTCTCTTGAAATCCTCTTTTAATTTATTCTTTATTTCAATAAAAACATGAAGCACTTATTGAGAATTAGCAAGGTTAGGGCAGTGACATTTATTAGCTAATATTTTAGGGGTGGGGTAGAGCTTGATCTTAAGTAGTACAAAATTAAGCATATTTATTGGGTAAAATATCTTACCTGGGGGTGTGGGAGAAGGCACCTCTATCAAAATAATATTAGCTAATATATGTCAGCACCTTATCATATAACAAACATGCTACTTAATTTTAAAAATTCTTCTAAAAAGCCTCAATATGAATTTAAACTCTTACAAATCACCTGAAAATAATTTAAGATAAAAAATATAATAAAATAGATATATAAGGTAAACCTTAATTATGAGAGAGCCAAATTTAACAAGTCAAAATAAATATCGTAAAACACTGCCTACAGTATTCTCTTCCTCTAGTATCCCTGAGTAAAGTACTCTAATAAAATTAATATAAAAATGTAAAGTATTGAAAATTTCTAAATTAAATATAACATCACCCACCCAATAATTTTTGAGCGCCATCAAAATATCGCATAATTGATGAAATTCAGTAATTTTTAGACTTCGTTATATAAATCATCTATTCTGATTCTTCAAAGCTTTGAAAAAATCGTCAAATTTCCTTTCCAATTTATCAAATCAAGCGCTTAATTCAACATTAGATGTAGGTGCTTGATCGTTATTGTTATTTATTTGTATTTCTGCTAATTTATTCTCAATACGTTCAAGCTTTTTCGATGGTTTCATTTATTAAATTTTCGGTTGGAATCGCGTAGTAAACGTATCTCTATTGCAAAAGTGCGTACGTATATTTGATCAATAGTTGGGCACGCATCTTAATTACAGCTCGTTTTCTAAAGTCGATTCACAAATGCTTTTCTAAATAGTTAAATGTATGTTGATTGACTTGCGTAAATTTTCGTTATTGGACAATATGCATAGAAAAAGGTGTTATCCCATAATAAATTTTGCAGAAGAGTGGCCAAAACTATACTAGTGTGATTCCAGCGACCAATTATCCGGTTTGCACTGATTTATTCCAAAAATAGTAGTCATTGTTTATGAATCAGCACAATTCGGATAGTAACGGTAAGGTTAGGATAAGTTACATTGTTTTCGAAGATTTGTACGGTTCCATTGTTATGATTCTCTGTTACAAAAGAGCTGCTAGAAGTGGAAACTTGGATAATATACCGGTTCCTGGCACAAATCATAAAAATAATGACCTAAAAACAAAAGTAAAGTTGCTTTCAAGTGAATACTTGATTTTAACAATAAAGCTGGTAGTCATGGTAGTATCTCGCGAATGTACCGTCAACATAATTGAACAGCCAAGTAGCAGTATATTCAAACCAGCAAGATCGAACGCTTTTAACATCCGTTGGTCCTAGTGTTCCAACTGATGAATATCCATATATTGTAGCAGGTATAAATAGGGGTCTAATGGATTAACTATACACAATTATATTCAAATGCACGTAGCTTAGCCAAATGAATATAGTAGCGAGTGCAGCATATAATAATAATAATAATAATAAAGACTTTAACATAATGACAGCCAACGACTTCTTTTATTGATAGGTTGTCGTAAATTTCTCCAGTATTAGCCTTATCGTGAATTATGAGATTCATGAATGGACTTTCATTGTCACGATTTCACTCATATAAGACTAAATGCAGGAAAAAGTTCCAAGCAATATCGAGCACTGCATTCCATACTCTATTTCACTCGAAGAAACCGAGCCACTTTTCATTAGTCCTGTAAAAGGAACTTGAAAATATTTTATATTCGTCTTTCGATATCTTATTATGGCTAATTTCTTGTATTTTTGTTGACGATAAATATAAAAAGGTAAATTCGACACGGAAAGATCGAACCTCATCAAGATCACTATTTGGTCAATATAACTCCATGATTTGTCAAGAGAAATTCTTCATGAATTGTATGGCACTTTCTAAAAGAGTAAATAAAAGATTTTGTTAATTAGTAATTCTAGAAAAAGCTACAGTCAAACTTCTCTATAGTCACCCCCATATCACATCATACAAAATCCTGCTCATTTCAAGAGCCAGCTATAATAAAATCACATCTCTATAGTCACATTCATAATAAAACTCTGTTATAATGATATTCTGGGAAAACTGCTATTTGGCCCAACAGTGTGACTACCTGGAGGCTTTATAATTGATTCTGGTAATGCTTGAGTAACAGTTTCCATCCAACTCGAATTATCTTAGCTAAACGTAAAGTAGACTTGCTCATTCTCATGATCTTAATCAACTCGATTAACGGCAAAAACGATCAGGTGAATTTATCGTTTTCATGTTTTGTTTTTTCCATTTATTTGTCTCTTACTTTTCACACTCTGCTTTTTGTATTAATCTTTGAAATTCTTCTTTCCTCTACTTGTGACTTTTGATTTTTTTTCATTAGTTTAATGTACTACGCATGGGTCTCATGAATGAGGTTTTGATGGATCTAATTGACAAGATATATTCTTTGTTTTTAAATCGGAACTTAAATTTGAGCTTTCTTAAACCTAAGATCGATTCGGTCAGAATTACGTACGTATGCAAGTTCTGGATGCCCGAATTTGAGATTGACTATACAATTCCATCATTAGGGTTAAACTAGAGTCCCTTATTATATTCCTCAAGTGCTGTTTTAAAATCACTGTTGCTCACAGTTTTCATTGTTTCGGAGTAGATGCTTTTGTGAAGTTAGATGAATGAAAACGAAAAAAAATGTTTTGAATAAAACTCTTTCGATAACATTTGATAACATTCAGCCAATTTAAACTGACCATGTTGTCTCCTAACTCAGCAGATTTCAAGTACATTTCAAATGCTTTTATTCATTTTCTACTGTTGCAGTTCCATAAAAATAACATTTCGCAAGATGACTCTAAGCTGAAATTTTGCCAGATTCCGCTGAACTTTGAAAATGCACGAAGGATCTATTCGAATTTTTAATATCGCGGATCCAAATCATAAAAAGACTAAGAGACGAAGAGTCAATATTGGACTCTTTATTTTCTATTAGTTTCAAATACCACTCAAATACTTTTTCATCTTTGAGTTCCATTACCGCCTTCGAAGCAATAACCGAGGTTTCGTTCTCCTCGTGCATCTCCGATTTCTGCTGATTTCAAGAACCACTCAAATGCTTGAGTTTCATCTTTTGGTGTTCCAATACCGTCCCAGAAGCAATAACAAAACTAGTTGTTCTTGCGCATTTCCATTTTCCGCTGATTTCAAATACCACTCAAATGCCTTTTTTCATCTTCTTGTGTTCCAATACCGTCTTCGAAGCAATAAGTGAGGTCAGCTTGTCCTTGCGCATTGCCATTTTCGGCTGATTTCAAATACCACACAAATGCCTTTTTTTGTGTTCAATAGCAAAATTCACCATTGTGCCAATGCGTTATTTTCTTTACAGTTAATGACTTGATTTCGTAATGATAAAAAATAATATAAATTACTATGAGCTTCAAAATTATTCATTGTTAATAAAATTCGTCGTTTTCAAACATTGCTGTTAATTTTTGGCTATCTAATTTTTGTTAGAATTGAATAGGTTCCGAAGTTTTATCATTAATTCTTTGAGGCACGCTTCAATAATGTATCGTTATTAAATATTGCATCTTTAATATCAGGATTCATAATAAAATATGTATGTTATGTCACTTCTTTTTGGTTTCTATAATTTTGTTGATTGTTAAGATAGACAGGCTTGACCGAATGAACCAGTAATAAAGCCAGTTTTCGATAAAATGTTTGATAATTGCCAGCACTGTACGTACGTATATTGTATTCTATTTGGAGAATACGTAAATCAAATCAGATCCGATAATTTTAATATATAATTTAAAGAAATTTGACGATTTAAATGATAGAAACAACTTTAATTAATATACCCAAACAGTTTTATTATTAAATTATTACTAATAATAGCATTGAAACTTGAAATAAACTCAATAGTTTTTACTTGTATCATTTAAACACCGAATTTTCTATAATTAACAGATCTGAAGTCATGTACAGTATTTATATGATTGTTTTTTTTAACAAGTATGCTCTGCATTGCAATATAGGGGTACGTTCAAAACTTTTCAGCGCTCCTCGTAGACATAACAAATAGATGAGTCTGTTTTATGAATCTACCAGGACGACCCCAAAAGTTCAGGCCATGTGATAATTTTTTGATGATGTCAGCGATGATGACCAATTAAATTGCAAGATCAACGTGTAACACAAAAATTCAAAGACATTTTTAAAAAAAAGCTGTATCTCAAAATCTAATCTATGAAACTAAATAACCTTTACCCAGATCCAAACCCTAACCCTTTTCGCATCATTGACGTCATCAAAGAATTATCACGTGGCCCGAACTTTTGGTGGTCGCCCTGGCAGATTCCTGTTTTATTGAGTTGAAGATTAAAAATTAAAGCCTGATTTGGAGATGCGATAAAGCGTGGTGAACATGTGATTCAGTCCCTTTAAATTTTCAGTGTGCAACCAATTAATGATTTATAAGATCAGGATAAGGGTAAAGATTAGAGTTAGAGGACAAGGTTACCTTCCTAACATTTTTAATTAGTATTCAAGGACAGGTTTAAGCATCGGTTTTCTTGTAATATTCACATTTCTCACATTTTTCATATCTTATGTCGAATTTGTTTGCCGGGTTGATAAAAAATTTGCGCATTCTTATTGGTGATTGACAAAAATTTGCACACCCCTATTGGATAGATTACATGTGTTCACCACGCTTTAGCGCATCCCCTGATTTGGGCAAAAACTTTATAAATTTTAAATATATGCTAAAATAATTTCGGAAAAGATTAATAGCTAGTCCTAAAGTCCGCTTCGAAAGGCAATGACTACCTCTATTCTTTGATCCCACATTATGTGCTACGAAAATAATCGGTCAATATCAAAGTTAATGAATAGTAGTAAATGCAACTTTATCATTGACTTACCACGATATTGCCCAAGAATAGAGCTCATTAATTTATTTTGAAAAAAGCAAAATAAACAAGTATACTACTACAATTAATTTGACAGCAATTTTATGAATTCATGAGAAAAACGGCGGAATTTTCAAATAATTGGAAAAATTCGATTTTTAAGCATAGAAAATCGAATAATTTTTGTTTCGTATTTTCGTTGCTCAAATTAACTATAATCATTAAGACTTGTATTTTTAGTCACTATTGGCGTGGTGTTTATGTGTCAAATTATCAAATTTTATTTTTTAAAAAAATAATTTATTAATTATATTTTTTAATTTCAAACTTGTGATCCGTGACTGTTTTTCTATAATAAAATTATTTTGTATCTTTGGTTTTAAATGTGGGATCTCTAATTTTTTTGATATTCATAAAATAATAACTAACTTTTTTACCATCAACATGAATAAATAAAGAGAAAAATCCTTAAGGTCGAATTCAAAATTTCAAATAAATCATTAAGAATTTAAGCCCCGAGTTCCTATGTATTAATTCTTTGTTTGATATTATTCTATCCATATTTAGCATAAATTCAATGTTGAATTTATTAAATTGCCGGCGATTCACAGCATATCGATACATGTATTTATCATTAATTCAAAGTTTCTTCTTAAAAGAAGTTGAATTCTAAATTCACAAAAATGCATTGCATATATTAGATTTTGATAGCAAATGTCTATAAGAACATAACATTAGCTAAACAAGCTTTTCAAAGTTACCGTTTGCAGTGTATTTCAAATTTCCGTACGAAAAAGCTTCGATTTAACAAACATTCTTTACTTTGTCTTCCTAAAATATAGCATAACGATAAGATTGTTTTGTACATGTACCACATATACGTATGTTATCATGAAATAAAAGCCGTCAAACACATACGTACGTAGGTTCAATGCAATTAATTTCGTTCTACATGTAATAAATTGTAATACTATCGCTATATTCTGAAAAATGATTTGTAGATTGAAATTAGTCCAAATAATGAAGACGCATAAGACGAAGCACTAATTAGAACTGAAGTTTCTTATAGTAGATAACCGACTTTACTAAATAAATTTATATCAGCCGAATTTGCTACTTTGGTTTACCAAGTATAATTTGTACATGTATATAAATTATATACTAACGCTAAATCTCCTACCCTGCTGTATGCCTCTAAAGAAAAAATCACAATTATTAATCCCAAAATACATGTATAAACTAGATCAATACGTTTAGTTACGAATATAGGTAACTAAGTATACAGTCACGTTATATACATACCCTACAGTATATTATCGGAAATTTCAAAAATGAATCTGTCACTTTGGAACCCGATATCTCAATATCCAGTGCTCCCATTCGAACAAAAGATGTCACCATTAGATTCGCATAGACAAGACGAATCTAATGGTGACATCTTTTGTTCGAATGGGAGCACTGGATGTTGAGATATCGGGTTCCAAAGTGAGAGATTCATTTTTGAAATTTCCGATAATATACTGTAGGGTGTGTAAAGTGTATTTTTTAGATAAAAAATTTGTTTGCTTATAATTAAACTGATTCTATATAGTGTATTTATAAAGTATTTGAAAAGTCAGTGAAGAAATCTGCCTAATGTGGAAAAGTGTATTTAAAGACAATTCTGAATACGCTCGAACACTCTAATCGCATCGAATTCTTAAATATTATATTATCCAAAAAGATTTTATTTTAATAAATTAGAAAAAGACGAGTTTAAAACAAGGTCTTTTGGATGATATAACATCTAAGAATTAAACTCAAAGTTGATGCTCAAGCTGAACGCAGTTCTTTTAGGCTTTTGTTATCAACTTGTTTATCAACTTGTTTATATGATAAAGAAGCATTTATAATCAGCAGAGTCTGGAAATAAGCTATAACTAAAAACACTTTTGTCTGTCAGTTGTTTATGGAAACGTCGTAGCTCAATCAGCGGATTACGAACATGGTGTATTTTGCATGCTAAGTGTGTAGGCACAAAGAAAGATAGCATTTAAAGGCAGTAAAATCTAGCTCAACCTTCTTTAGATTATCACGAAATAGGACTGGCTGAGAAATCGAAATCGAATGAATCTGGTAGTATTCAAACTCAAATATGCTGCTAGTGAATGTCATGAAAAAGCTAGAGATGAGAGTAAAGCATTTGAATACCATTAAAGTCTTCCTCTGCATCAGGAGATGTTGATGCCTAGCCTGGTAAATGATACAGAATGAAGAACAGCCTGAATGACAAAAGAGTATTTTAAATAGTCGAGTTTGAAAATGCTTTGGCTCATTACGTGTAATCTTAATCACTAGATGGAATTGGGGCTGATGATATAAATAAACAGTCAAGTCTGCACAATTTGAACTTGGTAATTGTTACCAATACGAACTCGGAGTTCCAAAAACCTTTGTACGTAATGTGTATGAAACTGCGTACGATGACGTCAGCTTGAGGCTGAAAAAATGATTTCTCCCAATCGTTATAGAGATTGCTGTATTAGATGTTTTAAACCTTATCCATGTTGTATATCTTTTACGACGTACTTATTTGTAGATTTACGATCACTCATTTAATTTATGCAAGGGGCTAAAGGATAGGTATCATAGTATAGAAGATTACACTTTTCCTAAATTCCTAAATATCTGCTGAAACTAATAAAACCATTTGCAAATTATTAGGAAACCATTACCTCTTTAATTAAAACACAAATACTAATCAGTTCTTTATAGCAAACAGTCTGAAAAAGCGAAACAATTAGACTCGTACGTTCACAAAACATACTTTCACTTCACTGAATTACATCATAGAAACTTTTTGAAACACATAATCTAAGTTTACGCAAGACAGCATTGGAGCCAATGAACATTATATAAATGATATTTTCATTTTCCTATCTTCAGTTAATGGCTGCGGTTGAGTATGTAAGAAAGCATTGCAAAAATAGATACCATTTGCGCAGAGCCAAAGAACATTACGTATATACGTAAACATATTCTCATGTTCCTATTTTCAGTTAATGGCTGCGGTTGAGTAATGTTTTTTTCATTGTGCTGCGTACGTAAATAACACAAATAATCACAATCATAAACAATGAGATAGAAAACTTCAAAAGTCCCATTTCTTTTATCAATGTTTCATTCAAATAGCGAAAATAGATTTGAATAGAATCTACGGCCGGATTTAATGTAAAAATGCATTTAACCTAGGGTCGGGTTTAACGTAGTGTAAAACGCATTCAATATACGGAAAGCCGATTGCTATAATTTTGGCGTACAATTTCGCTATTGTTGATGTCATACCTGCCTATGCACTAACTTTCATAAGGTGACTAAATTGCTGCTTCGAGGAATAAATGATAGGACTACTAGTAAAAGAGGAAATCATTTCAATAGCATGAGCTAACAATTATATAATAAATCTAAAAATGGTTCCAACAACAATCGAATGCACCAACAGCTATGCTGCTAATAAGCAATAATAATATACAACAGCACAACACGAAGACCAATCAGGAACTCAACATCAAATGATACAAAAGCATAATAACAATTTCAACAATCGCAATGGAATTAATTACATGTATATGTTAATTTTTAACTTTGGTACTTTGTCCAACTCTGTAGGCGTATTTTTCTTGTTTATTTAAGCAAGTGCTGTATATGTCAATGTATAACATATCATACAGATATTGATATCATTAAAAAAAAAAAACTTATAAATATTCGACAATATGTCTCTTTCTTATTTAAACTTTTGGTGGTGGATAATAAATAAATAACAATTAATAGAAAATAAATAAACTATAGAAATAACGACAAAAATATATATAGCTAGCATACATACATTTTAATATACATATAAATTGTAGTAGCGGTAGCTTTAAATAATGAGTTTCAGCGAAAGCTTACCACCACAGACTGTAGAAAAAGAGGAGCATGAAGAGAAAATAATATTGAATGTCAATAACGTCAAGGTATTTATAGATACTTGTTATCAGATTTTGAATAAATTAACTTACGACGAAAATAAATTCTCGCATAGTATGAAACGTACAGGTCTACGTTGACGGCATATCCTGAAACTCTTCTTGGAACAATGTTTCAAAAACGCAATTCTGCACTATTACAGCCTAAAAATAACAACGAATATTCGATAAATCGAGATGGAAATGTATTTTATTATATTCTCGAGTATTATCGAGAAGGAAAATTAACATGGGCTGGACCCCAATCAAAACCCGTCGTACGACGACGAGACTTGGACAAAGAGCTCGACTACTTTTTATTACCACCGGTGATTCCGCCCTACGCAATTCAGTCAGATTATCAATCATGTCTTAAGGGAATGGAGAAAATATGTCAACGAGTATTTTCCAAAAATTCTCGTATTAATCAATCATCAACGAATAATATCAGTATCAAAGTCACAATATCGGAAACTAGCAGATTCTTAATGGTTCGATATATAAATCAGAGTGGCAGTTTTCATGTTTCGACCACACCAAAGGCGATGAAAATGTTTGGATTGTATGGTGAAGATATTTACGATCAGATACAGGAACAATGGCCTGGATTGGTGTGTAAAACACGGGCAATCGATCGCGGAATTTTGATTTTTTTGAGTAGAAATTTAACAGAGACTTCTACTGGTGGCATGAGATATAGCGCGTATAGGAAGAAGTCGACGAGTTCTCTAAAAGAGGACAGGAGGCCAAGAGGAAGGACCAAGTGATGACATAAATTGGAAACAGATTTTTGATTTTTTGTAGCATAGTTTTTAGCTTTTTAGTTTCAATTATTCTTTTTGAATTTAATTTTCCAATGTACATAATTTTTTATTTTTTGTTTATACCCGATACCGATACGTATTCTCGATGACATAATCTCAGATACGCAAGTGAATAAAGCTACATGTATTTACACAAACAAAAATAGATGTTCGCAGCGTAGACATTGGTTGGATCAAGTGATGACTAATAAATTAAGATTTTGAAATTTCGCGCGTGCAACATACCATGCAAAAGCTAAATTATTAGCGTGATCACATTACATATATTATCATTATCGTCATTAATACCTGCAATGCACGCATTATTATACAGCATACAAATATGCAAAGCACTTTCTCAACACGGATTTATCCCTCAATGAAAACGACACAAATTACTTCTATAAAACAAGCGAAAGGGGCCAGCTGCGACAGAAATAGATCAATAACATTCTATAACTCTGCAGCGAATAAAAGATTCTATGACTTGATAAACTATTTTCTAAGTACAGTATTTCGTACACAAAATTCGGATGTAATTATTGAGTCGAATAAGGAATCAATCAACTTATACGAAAGAAGTGGTGTCGTATGAAAAAGTGGCTTTACCAACGAGTAAGATCTATGTGCATCATTTGCATGAATGAATGCAATAACTTGCATGCTCATTTAAAACTGGCCGAGTATATAAAAACGGAGAAGGAACTCCCAGTAAATCCTGAATCTGCGTTTATCAGTGCAAGCGTTCCGCATCATTTGGAAATTCGCAGGCATATCACATTCTTTGCCAAATGTATGAAGACTGTTCGTGCATGATAAAACTTCCAATTCAAACGAAAGATGACAGTACGATGCTAAAACTTTCAATAACAAATAGAACACAGAAATCGACTGACAAATGGAAATTCTAACAATAAACTCCCACATATATAATGATAAATCGGAATTTTATTTTACCACCACTTCAAAGGAAACACCGCACACGATCACTAAAAAGTAAACATAAAGATGGAATCTAATAAACTCGTGATTATAGTGAATGTGACAGCGATGCTGAAGCTTTTTGGCTTTGAGTTTAGAAAAGATAACTTGGATCTTTTGCCAGTTTTTTTTCCAATTCTTGTTTTCAGCTTCCATTTTCCCTCATTCATTACATGATACGTAACAATACGTTCTTTGTCATTACAATGCCAAACATGATGCTATTATTACAAATTGTGAAACAATACCGATACGCAATGGCTCCAATTTATTGGACGATAAATGCATTGATTTATTGCTAATTACAGAATTCTCGATTTTCAATAGATTAAAGTAAACGTTAAGAAAAGTTCGATAGGGTGAATTGTTTTCAAGAAATATTCGAATAATAACATTGGTCAAAGCTTTTTGATACCAGTTCTCCAAAAAAGACCATTTGATTGTTTTCGTTTTACCATACAACGCGTAAGGAATTTTGTATTGTGTTTTGTAATATAGGCTCTGGTCTTTGGTGGTCATGCTTTCTGGCAGCAAAATTGATTCAAAGATCTGAAACTGGATATCTTACCTGGTACAATACAGTATGTATAATATAAAATGCATAACAGTGAAAAAAAACGAGAAAAGTTCTTTATTATGCACTGTATATCGATGCGTATGTTGTAAATGGGAGTGAGTTCGGAATCCACTTAGTGTGGATTTAGAATCTTTATGCCAACACTAATCTTATCACCATTACCATTACTCTAACTCTAGTCGTGCCCTATCCTAATTTGCGCTAGGTCCATATCCCGTTCCCGTTTGCGACATATAATTTCTCTTGTTTTAAGTAAAGAAAAAGTTTAACCAATAGTCTCCGAAAATTCTATGGACAGTAAAATTTGGTGTCACGCCTCATCAATTTACACGTATTTTGCGGCTAACTGAGAATCGATTTTGAAAAACAAAATCGATTAATATGCAATAAAAATCATCAGTGTTCGTAAATGTAACATGGCACACATAGCGTCTGAGAAGAAATTAAAGGGCAAAAGTTTTCGACGCTACAATCTCGTTCTGAAGTATATGAAAAGCTCGAGAAAAATCCAAAGTTTGTTAAGAATAATAAACAAGTTAGGAAGACAAATATTTCAAATAGAACATGAACACTTTCTTTACTCACCACTTTTAGTAAAGGTTACAACACCTGATCAAAATTCCCGATAAAAAAGGTTTCGTCGGATCTGGTTTGTGGTTCAGCCAATAATATTGTAGTTTATTTGATCCATAGAACCATTGACGGAAATTAATCTGGCTCCACACGCGGCAAATAATTTGAGAAGTGCTCGTACGAGTGCAATTACGGTTGGTGTGGATGTCTGAAGACATTGTTGTTGCTGTTGTTGTCAACGTCGTATTTGTAATTGTTCATTATTAATGTAAAACGAATACACATTATCGTTATCCTTATTGTTTCCAAAGTGGAAGTTCTGCGCTACCTTCCCTATTCACTTAAATACAATTAAATAAATAAATTATAGTCTACGAACTGGCGCGATGACAGAACGAAAGATTTCTTCCAAAATATCAAAAATTAAGATTCTCTATACAAAAAGAAAAATGATTTTGAATTTGACACTAGTTAATAAATATGTTAGTGTTTTTTTATATTATAAGTCAACAAAAAAAAACCTGATTCGTCAAATAAATCCCCACTTTCACGTATAATTTAGAATAACAAAGAATGGCTGTAGTGTGCTTTTCACCACCTCCTCATCAAAGCAAGGTTACCTCTACGTTTGCCAAGAAAAAAAAGGGCCTTGAGTGACTCCTACCAATATCTGTTTAGGCATCGACTTCAAACAAAAGAGCATAATACCTATTGTCGCAGAATGGTCTCAAAGTTTGTGGCCACCCATCTCTTTCGACCGCCGCCAACGTGTCTTCTTCTATACTACAAAACTTGTGGTCCTTTCCGACGATATATCTGCCAACAACAGGAGCTTGCCGAGAGTATTGCTGCCATCTTTATCTGCTGATATGGGATAGTTTGATGTCACGAGAGAGAAAATATTGTCCTTTTGAGATGGATAACCCCGGAAACTAATTGTTTCTTTCTATGAAATTATAAATATATATTAGTATCTGACATGGTGAATCGTAAGACGAAAAAATCTAATCGCCAAGGCCAAGGAACTCGGAGTCCAGTTATTATCTAAAATAAAGCATATACTTTAGACTTGTAGTTGATGTGGCAATATCCAAGAACCGAAGTGTATAACTTCTATAATTGTAGGGCTGTGCTCGGGTAACGGTAATATTTCGCTAGGAAATATCTATTATTAATAATATAAATAATTGTATGAACATGTATACTGTATATCGAAAAGGGTTAAGTTATCTCGGTAAAAACCGGATTTTTCCCAAACAATACTCGTATTCTTAACGAACGTTACGATAAACCAACTTTTCTTTTTTTTCAATTTTATTATACTAATACTACCGCTACAGTATTACGTATTGATATAAAATGGTTAACGTTAACGTGATACGTCGTACATGATGTGTTGCAATCCATCCAAATAAAAACGAGTGTATCACAAGCGTGATCAGTGTACAAATGCTTGTGATTAACGCTATTCCCATACAATGGACGATAAAACAAAACTGGCAGAAAACATCAATCAAATATTTGTAAGAGCCAATCAAAAAACTGATATTGAAGGAATAAAATTAGTAATATTGGACTATCTTGACAAGACTGAACAAATTTCCGAGTATTTATATGATTCCGTGGTGAATGCGAGTGAATACGGTCAATTCTTATCATTACGTGGATTCTGTGAAGTTAATGGTACGTGTATTGGTATGAATTTTATTATCATGTGTATTTAAGCGCAATTTTTCACAATGTTTTCGTAAGAAATTTAGGAATCGGTACAAAGTCCAATCAAAAACTTGCTTTCCAATTTTTTACAAAAGGAGCGCTTTTAGGAGACAAAATATCTTGCGGATTCTTAGCATATTGTTTTCACAAAGGAATTGGTACAAAAAAAGATGAAAAAGAGTCATTCAAATGGACCAAAATCGCCATAGATGGAGGATTACAAAATAAATATGTGCAATTAAGATTAGCCAATTATTATAGGGTCCAAAAAAACTATGAACTAGCCTTTCGTTGGCTTAAGACTTCAGCATCGCTTGGAAACCCTAGAGCATATTTAATTCTGGGTAAAATGTACCATGTATCTGAGGGAATTACCAGAAATTATGAAAAGTCTTTTCGTGCGTGGAAGAAAGCTGCGAACATCACTTCAAAATATCAACCATCTGCTCAAAATTTATTGGCTATCTATTATTATAGAGGAAGAGGTACCAACAAAGATATGCACGCTGCTATAAAAACGCATATAAATGCTACGAAAAGTGGAAAATCATCCTACTTTTCAAAACTTTTACACATTATTTTTAAAAAACTTCGCTAATTATTGTCCTTTCTGTTTCCCTTTCTGTTTTTATATCAAGATTTTATTGAGATGATTAAAAATATCATTGTATTTCACTTGGATCGCATTATATCATATTAATTTAAGTTTGAACTATAATAGAATTCTTCCCATAAAATTACTATTGATTTTTTATATGCTGTATTTAGTCTAACCAAATATTGTACTGAGAGTTTTTCTATTTTATTTATCACAATTTGAGAGAGCAAAGTTTATCTTGATACCTATTCAATGTGAAGCGCGGGAAAATAGGAAGTATCATAAAAACATCTACATGTATTAATTATGTAACATTATATTTAATGCTTAGAATATGTTAGTAGCTATCAATCAACTGCAATTCGTGAAATTGTTGCTCGGTTTTAATAGTGGTATTGGAACATAACTTCTATCTTCGTTTATTGAAATTGACAAACTTACAAATACACAGTTCAGAACGGATTACGTATAGTAAATCCTTCTCGATATAACAGAATTTTCACCACTGGAACAGATGATTCCGTTCTGTTATATCGAGTTTCACTGTGTACGTATGCCGATACGCAATCATGTCAGATAATATTAAGAATCAGATTTCAGATTAGTAATAGTAAATGGACTTGAACATGGGATTAAAAATTAAAAGTCACGGAGTTCTAAAAATAGAAGACGTGTTTCTGTTCATTTTAAAATTTCATAACAAAAAAAATTACCCTAAATTATAAACTTAATGCTCTTTCTTATGAAACATTTTTCAAAAATAATTGCATCACTAATAATCATTTAGATCTCCATATGAATACATGTAATAACAATAACGATAAGTACTTACCGTTACCAATTTAAAATAAACAATATCTTTGCAATTTATCTGTATTAAGTAAATTGAACAAATTTACAGTAACTTCTTTTTTTAATTGTATTCATAATAAAAATTTCTTAGTTTATCCCGCGAACCGAGTTTTATTAGTTTCAATTAGTGCATTTAATCATCAGATATCAATTATTGGTGCACTTTAACATTATTGAACTTTTTCTGAATTTGGAAAGGTGTATTACGAAGTAACAGTCAAATACGTACATTTAATGAAATATTTTAATTTTATGTAACGATAATAAGCATGTTTAATTTGAAAAATTTGTAGGATGTAATTAACAAACTAACAAAACCAAATAGGTGCTGAATTTTTTGCTTCAAATCTTCTATTTTTGGTATAAATTGAATTATCCTACGTATCTAGTTAGGGACTAACGCTGTGTTCCGCCCAATGAATATCGATATGTACAATACCAAAGATTGCTTGATTTATAATATTTTTTCATTTGTCAAAAGTGTAACTCCAACCACATCATTTACTTCTATTGTAATACATGTAGAATTTGCTTGAACTAATTTTACTTCCTTCTGAATTTGGTTATCCAATAGTCAACTTGGTAATGCAAGATTCGGATCTTTAAATGGGGGGTGTCAGTAAAAAACTAAACAAACTTATTAGAGTAATTGCTTGATTTTATTGACTGCCCCAAATTTAACTATGACAATAGCGATATATAGATGATTTCTTTTGAATCCAGTTAAATGTCCATCCAATTTCGATTGTTGCATCCAGGACCAATTTTTCAAATTAGATTTACAATAATAATGTACTCGAATAAATTAGAATTGCAAAAAAAAAATACTGATACTTTTAGTAATAATAAAAATTATTCATTTAGAAACTAATCGATAATACTCTTCACTAATAGCAGCAATAAAATTAGGACAATAAATCAATGAGGTCGAATTTGATCTTTTTTCTTGACAAATTCTGCGTTTTTATTTGTATCATCTTTTCATATTTTTCAAAGCAAATTAGAAACTGCCATGTATTGCTTATATTTGCAATTTTCACAATTTTTACATAATGAGTAAAAGGATGTGATTACCATTATTATGAAGTTGTCTTGCCAATCAGATGTATAAAAACAAATTTTGTAATACAAAGATTTATTAGATTAAATAATATAGATACATGTACTTATTGAGATAATTATTATTAAACAATATAAATTATCAATTATTTCATTGCGTAGAAACATTTTCTTGTAAAATTACACTCAATTTTTTATTTCTATATTATATGACTCACTTTTAATTATTTCAACGTTTTGAGTTATACTAATGTTGAATATTTTTAATGTCTAGATATTCCGTTTTTTGTCCAATTTAACAAAAAGAATTTTTATAATCAGATTAAAATAGTTAATAAAAAAATCATTTTTATAATTAAATTAAAAATGATTATATATTGAATTTAAATAAAATTCGATAAAAACTATTTTTATAATCAAATTAAAAATTAAATTTAAATTTGACAAAATCTAACAAAAATTATTCTTATAGTTAAATTAAAAATGATTATATATTAAATTTAAATAGAATAATTTTTTAATCTAAGTATAAAATGATTTATCAAGTTAAAATCATTTTTTATTAGTTGATAACAATTAAATAGAAATCCAATATTAAATAAAAATAATATGTATTTTTAGTTATTTATTATTAATTAATTTAACAAATTTTTTTATAGTATTTATATTAATAATATTAATCTAATTAAGAAAATGAACTAATTATAAATAAATTAATTGATTGTATAATAACTAGTAATTTTTATTTATTTTATCTTTTAAGTATAAAGTATACTTTATTTTTTAAAAAATTTTTAATTTTTTAGTTTTATAAATATATTTTTAAATATTTTTGTCAACTAAATATATTGTCTGAAAAAATAAATTAATTTATTATTTTTCTAAAAAAATAAAATAAAAATGAAATATATATTGTTATTTAATAATTAAAATATAATATATTTTCTTTTTAGCTATTAAATTATAGTTTTATTTATAGTTTTATTTATAGTTTTAAATTTTTTATAAATATAAACTTCAAAAAAAAACTTTTATAAAATTAGCTAAATTTATATTATAATATAGTAATTTCTAAGTAATTATTTTTTTATATTAATTAATAAAAATAAACAAATTAATTTCAAATAATAATTTAATTTATTATATTTATATAAAAATATTATTTTAATTAGTAATATTTTACAAAGACTTTTTTAAATATTATTAAATTATTTAGTATTTTGAATAAATTTGTTAATATAATAAAATTATAATTATTCATAATTGAACAATTTTTTTTGATAATATTTTTTTATAATATATTATACATTTTTTACTGATTGTGTAATTAGCTAATAAATGTGAACAAGAGTTGGAAGAGATAATTAAACAAATATAAGAAGAATATGAAAATAATATCTAAGTTCTATATTAATTTTTACTAAAATTATTATAGTTCAAAAAGAGAAAAAATTAAAGTAATAGTGTTTCAATTAGGTATAGTGTTCTGAATAATCATATTAACTAATTAATTTATGAATTATTTAATTGAAGTAACTAATAAATTTAACTAACTAATTAAAATAACAAAAATAACAAAAGTAATAAAGACTCTTTCACTTTGTTCTTCTCACAAAAAAGAGATTACAATGTCTTTAGTTGAGGAATTCCAAATAATTTAATTATTACAAAAAATATTAAAAGACTAGTCTATAACAAAATATTAATTCAATAATTCAATATCAACATCTTGATCAACTCAATACAGTCTCAAAGCTACTTGTTTACAAGATTTAAAGTGTACTTTTGAGAGGAGAAGGTGAATTATTTTTAAGTATTAAAAGATATTTATTTTATTGTTATTTATTTTCAAGTTCTGACATGTTGAGTTGGAGCTCAACTATAACTCATATTT